ATTTTAAAGTAAGCTTATTGTAGAAACATTTAATTTCCAGTATCACTCTTCACTTAATATGCCATACATCTATATAATTAAAGTAAAAATGAAATGTTCACAAAAATAAAAACTAAAGTGAAGAAGTTGTAACTATATGTTAAATTTCACGAGCCAGAAAACATAAATTTAGTGTAAAAACATATGTCAAATACAAATATGTATATTTTCACAATGAATAAAATGCATGTGCTTTTTCTCTCTGCTTCCTATTCTTAATGTACCAGTCTTGGCACATCCACTGTTAATTTTGTGACTGTGTAAACTTAAAATAAATCTTTATTTTCTAAGTTGGCATTTCCTTTAGACATAAGTTACTTCCTTCCTTTACACATAAGTTCCTCTCTCTCTCTCTCTCTCTCTCTCTCTTTCTTTCTTTCCTTTCTTCTAGGACTGGATCTCATGTATGCCAAGCCAGCTTTGAACTTTCTGTGTAGTCTAATATGACCTCAGATTTTCGATCCTACTGACATTACTTCCCGAGTTCTGAGATATTGAGGTATACACCAACACAGTCCATTTCCTTGGTACTGTGGGCTGATGTCATGGAGTCATGCATGTAGGCGAACACTGTATCAACTGGGTTACATTTTCAGGGTAAGAAAAGATGAAAATTTTGATGGACATGTTTATATATGTCATGTGTAACAAGAAGAAGGAGAAGGAGAAGGAGAAGGAGAAGGAGAAGGAGAAGGAGAAGGAGAAGGAGAAGAAGAAGAAGAAGAAGAAGAAGAAGAAGAAGAAGAAGAAGAAGAAGAGGAGGAGGAGGAGGAAGAGGAGGAGGAGCAGGAGGAGGAGGAGGAGGAGGAGGAGGAATCAATTAGGCCTGAAACACCTCACACTTCACTGTGACTTGAGATAACTTGCTACCATTTGGATACTAAGCCATGCAGCTTGCTCATCTGGGATTATGCAATCAAAATCACACTGTCAGACACCCTAGAGTGTCTTAACCCATTATAACAGCTGAGAAAAACTCGTAGAAACTCAGTTTTCTATTTATCCTTACATTTTTCTTTACTGGGTTGAGTTCCACAGAGTTAGGTTAGCATACTGTGCTAGCATTGTTAGGAAACAAATGATAGGTTATTCAAATCTAATACATTCAGAATGACAGATTATCTTGGGATGAATGCTTCATTTAAAGATCTAGCATGATGATCCACAGTGGGTGAGTGACAGAATGAGAAGCTGTCAAGGGGACAGAGGGATGGTCTCATTTTGCAGCTTTCCCAGTTATAAAAGGTGGTAGGGGAACTCTGGAGAGCTGGCCTGACTAAGCCCAAAACGATGCTAGGGGGTTGTTCCTTGTGCAGAAAAAGCCTAGACTTTTCCCATGTATCTCACATCAACAGCACAATATAGAATTTGCTTGAAAGAGGCAACATCACTCCGGCCTTTTAGTTGAAGCATCTCTCATGTTGGACTGCCTTCTCCGGAAGCTAATGCAGGGGGATTTGAAGGATCCTGGTTACTTGGAGAATGTTAGCAGGGAGAGGAAGCAAACAGGTTAGGAGTCAAGAGTAGCATCCTGAAGCAGCACAGAGGAGAAGGGTCTATTTAGGGAGTTGACTTTATAAACATTCTACAGTTCAGGGTGGTATTCATCCTGGGGAATAAACAGTCAATGTGGTTTTGAATTGAGATGAATTTTTGAAAATAAAGATTTAAAAGAATGTTTTTGTACACAGTTGCAAGATGACAATGGGCATGGCAAGATTGGCACATTGAGGGCAGTAAGCAGACACTTTTAAAAAGAATCCACAGCACTGTTTGGAAATGATACCTATTGTCTATTTTATGTCTTTTATTCTGTCTTACATATGGTTTAGGGGATTCTTAAAACCTTCTCTTTTTGGATTATAAAGGAGTACTATAAGTGACTTAAGCAAATGCATGAATTCTAAAGAGAGGAAGGGAAAAGGAGAAAATGATAGGAAGTTCATTTTTTTTTAAAATTTCCCATCCTGACACAAAAGAGACACTTCCATATGTCAATGGTTTAAGAATGGTTTTCCACTTTAAACCTATTCTCATCCTGTATGACACAGCATCCTGGAGAAAGTCTGTTGCTTCTATTTGAATAGCACTAATGGGACTTATCATATGGCTCAAACTGCGATTCAGTCTCCCTGGGCCCCATTGCTTCACCTCATCCAATTATTGCCATTGTGGAACAATGGTCTGCAGTAGCTGTGACTTCTGTCTCTTCTGCTTTTTAAGTGAGAGACTCTTAGGAAGAGTCTGGAAAGCAACAACAACAAACACAACAAAACGCAACAAATACACGATGTAGTTTGATACAGTGATGGATGCTAGAGAAGTAATGGGGGCTGAAAGGGAGTCTCTATGTTCCAAATTTGAAGTAGGTGGGCCAGGGAAAGTTTCACTGAGCTGCTTGTTCTTTTGAGTTAGGTCCCAAAGAAGCTGACGGAAGGAACTATAGACCTTCAGTGTCAGGAAGAGTCCGAGTGCTGGGAGCTGCAGTGTAAAGGCCATGAAATAGAATTGTGTTTGGTAAGCTGGAAAACTGGTGAGGTCACTGTGTTTAGAGGAGAATACACTAGGGCTAGTATGAGGTGAAGTTGGAGGTTATGCAGGAGGGATTAAGTTATTCGGAGTCTTTCATTTCCCATCCCCATGTTAGATGGCTCTAACTACCCAACTACAGCTTTGGGGGCATTGGACACTCCTGACCTCTGTGGGCACCTGCACTCATTTTCTTGCACTGAACGAGTGCGCACACACACACACACACACACACACGGAGAGAGAGAGAGAGAGAGAGAGAGAGAGAGAGAGAGAGAGAGAGAGAGAGAGAGAGAAACAGAGACATGGACATAGAGGCCTACAAAATATTTTGAATTGGAGAATTGGAGCATGGCCTAATTTCCTATCTTAAGTGGTCTGTGTTAAAAAAAAAAAAGTCTTCAGGGTAGAAAGAACCAGAGAATGAGCTAGGAGACAGCTGAGAACCATTTAAGGTCTGTAACATATGTTTACAAGCTGAGTCCCAATGACCGGAATCTAGATTGTCTAATAGTTGTGTACACAGAACCAGGATGTTGTATAGAAGCAGGTGACAAATGACTGAGTATCACTGAGTGAGATCATGAGTTCTCTTCTTGGCCCAGGACTCCCATAAAGGGTCTTGTATTCATGGTGTTGTTGGTTTGTGGTTCCCTTCTATAAAAAAACTAGTGTCTGTATTTCCCTTTTCTCTGTTCACTAAACAGAGGCTTACCTACTGCCTTCCTTAGGAGCTAAGTCTGTCTTAACAATCACTTTAAAGCTTGTAGGATGTTATAAAGCCCCCTTAGATACTTGACTGGATCCTGGAAAAGAAGGAGACTTTCATAAAAAATCTGGTTAAATCTAAATAAACTTTAGTTTAATGAGTGTCATTGTCCTAATAAGGATCAATTAGTTTGTTTAGTTGATACCAGTAAATGTGGTATCAAATGCCATTAATACAAATAGTTGGGTATAGGATATCTATATTATAATCACAATGTGTATATAATCACAATTATTCTAAAATAAGAAGCTCATTTTAAAATAACTCCCAACCCAGACATAGTAATCCACGCCTGTATCAGGTAGCAGGATCATGAGTTGGCAGTCAGCCTAAGCTACATATAAGAGATCCTCTCTTAAAAAACAAACAAGGCGATCTCCCTAAATAACCTACATGAAAACAAACAAAAAGCCCCCCCGAAAGAAAAAATCATACAAATGTGAAAAATGTGAATGATCTCACAGATATGTTCTGCAGACTTTGTCATTCTTCATCCTTTTAAAGAAATTGGCTAATATACAAGGTACAGTCAGAAAACAACCTCTCTGTCTTATTCATGTTTGAGACAGAGACTCACAGGTATGTGAGGAGGACGTTGAACTTCTGATTCTCCTGCCTCTTCCTCCCAAGTGATGAGATTGTAGGCATGGGGCACCATACCTTGTTTATGCTATGCTGGGGATGGAAGCAGGCTTTTGTGTATTCTAGACAAGTACTCTGCCAACTGAGCCCCATGGCCAGCAACTCATCATTTCCCTTGGATTAAGCAGCTGTTTTTCAGAGCTGGGTGACCATAGTAACTAGGTAATGAGATCTTAAGCAGACTACAAAACCAAGGAAAAATAATGAAAAGGCTTCGATGCAGTGCAGCATTTGCCCTTGGTATCCTCTTCTAAAGGCAAGCTTAATTGCTAGGCTAAATCACCCCATTGGATTCAGTCTTTGCTTTTATGCACTCTTTTCTAGAGGGAAAAAGCTACAGCAATAGTATTGAATGAACAGAGTGGTGGAATAATCCATTTTATTCCCAAAGATGGATGTTTTAAATCTGGGGCCTGAGGCTATCCGGATCTTTCCACTTGAGATCATGAAGTAAAATCAGGTCAGAGTGTTGAGCAGGAGGAAGGTTAGTGCTCATTTAAGGAACCAGTGTGGTTCCCAGATGCCTTGCCTTCCGTCCTGATGGAGTAAGGTACACCCTGGGTAGGAAATTAGCCTCGCCCACCATTGCTTTGCCCTTGCATATATAAGAAGCAATAAGGCTGATGTCGGTGAGGGGCATTCTCATATCCTATGACAAGTTGTATTCTATCAGATACCTGATCATGCTTAGTTCATTCTCTATGAGTTCCCGTGGCTCTTCTGCACATCTCATGTTAAATTATTTTTGAGGCATATTTAAAAAAATCCATATGAAGCACCAGCAATAGTCAATAACTCTTGGATGGGATATCGACGCTAGCACTTTCTGAAAGGAAGTTAGGCACTCCCTTCTCAGGGATGTTTTAAATTAACCTGCTGGGCGGATGGAGATAAAAAGGAACTTTGGCAGTCTCTCCCACTTCTCAAGCTGTGAGGAGGAGGGAAGGGTTTAGTTGTCCCTCCACACCTCAGACGCTGTGGGAGATGGACAGGATCCCACAGGTAGGGTAGGTCTCCTCACCTCACCCCACGCAGCAGGCAGGGGCTCCACCGGAGGGTAGTACTTAGGCACGTCCCAGGCCACCGCAGCCATGAACCATTTGAAGTCTTTGCACTTGAGTCGCTTCCGCAACTCCTTCTGGGCAGAGATGTCTCCGGTGGAGAGATGCCTGTATTCTGGCCGCCGCTGGTAAATGTACTCAGCGAATTCATCCATCCAGGTCTCAGCCACGCGCTTCAGGTTCTGTAGAGCAGAGATTAAAAAAAAAGACAAACAAAACAGAGCATCAAGTTATTTATTGGTTTCTACCCCCAAAGAATCACTTTACTTGCATCAGAAACCCAAAATCGGGTATTTGCAGGCAGCACTGGCTGGTGGGTTATTAACAGTGAGAGTTTTCATAATGGCGAGGAACATGATGAGATTAGCCTGTGGTTTAGTGCACATTCTGTTTCGGGCATGGGGTTCAGCTGACAATACGGTAATTATCAGAGCTGGCAGAGAGTCTTCTCACAATTATGGCAACTTCCCTCCTGTTATTTAATGACGACATATACTTTACTTAATTTTATTTTTTACATACAACCGAAGGAATTGAAACGGGAGAACGGGAGGGAACGCAACTCCCAAACCGTATTTAATTGCTTAAAGCATTTCGAGATTCAGGCATTTTGGAAAGAACAAGGATGAATAAGCTGCTCTTCTCTCTTTTCCCATCTGTAGAGAGATTAACAAAAAGAAGAAATTTCTTATACTGCGACATGGACACCGACCAGAAGTTGTAATTTACTGTTAAAGAAGGAGAAGGAGGGGGATTATCAGGGGCCAATCTTGTCTACAAGTGTTTCCTGGGGTGAAGGAGTCAGGAGGCTTTTGTCAGAAAATGAACATGTTTATTTTTACAATTAGAAAAGCTAGGAGTTGAATCTAGGAAGGCCGGAGTTTGTTTGTTTAGAGACAGGATCTCACTATGCAATCCTGGCTGTCCTGGAATTCGATCTGTAGACCAACCTGGCCTCAATTACAGAGGTCCACCTGCCTCTGCCTCCAGAGTGCTGGGATTTAAGGTGTGTGTGCCACCTTGCCCAGCCTGGAAGGCCGTGTATTTGTAGGCTTTGGGGTTGAGCAAGTTGGTTAGCCACACTGAATTTCAGATTCTAAACCTGACCACTGCAACAGCAGTGCGTGGGGTTGTTGTATGATTAAGTGAAGTAGTTCTTATAAACTACTTAGAATTAGTATATACCAGTTATTATGAAAAATAAGCTATCATTATGAATACTAGAAAGGATTCAGGATTGCCAATTGAAGAGCCTGGATGTTAGGCTAGCTGCTATAACACAGCAGTTCCCAGGGTCTTTGAGAAGGAAGTAGAATGGAGGTGAGACATTGTGTGACATCCCTTCAAGTCCTGTGGCGTTAAGTGATAGAACAACTGTATTTGCCTGGGAGGTGCCAGCTTTGATTCCTTCATCCCTATGACCGTTTTGATAGGCTGATGTCCCGTGGACTCTGGTTATTGCCCTTTCCAGTTTAAATTCTTTATTTTAAGGGGTTGGTTTATGTGTGCATTGGCCCGATCCACTTTCTCATTTGCTCTGAGAAGACAAAATGACTATAATGGGTGGGAACTTCAATGAGAGCCTAACATAGGTGCTTAGAGTGTATATTAGGCACTTTATCTTAAAGAATTGCTGTGGAACCTTAATGCAGACATGACCCCTGAGGTCCGCAGCAGGCACAGCTGTATCTTATTCCTAATGGAATACTCTCCGCTCCAATATCCTCAGTTAGAGCACCCATCTGCCTTTGCCCTCCCTTCACATCCTGCTCAGACTTCCCAGCCACGTTTTCTAGTTGGTGAACACTGGGCTGGGCTCAGTTAACACAGCATAATGCAGAAGTAGAGCTACAAACACTGCTTTGATTTCTTAGCTTCCTTGTTTTCTAAGAAGCTGGTGCGTCGTAAGGAGGGCAGTGAAATGACATTGAGATTGTAGGAATTACTTGGAGACATCCAGTTTGCTTTTGTTTGCTTTCTAATACGCCACCAGCATTGTCTCACATGTTTCTTTCTTCTCTCTCTCCAGTCAGCCTTGACAGGCAACACTACACCTTGTTTTGTGCTATAACACCCTTCACCACTGAAGGAAGCTGGTGATTTTTGAGGAGGCTCTCACTCAGTGATGGAACCATCTACTGCCTGCACACGTGGGAACTATGTGAGAGTCTTCAGAGTTGTTCTAATTTTCTTATATTTGACATTTCTATAGGAAATGCTTTTGAAGTTAATTAGTCTTCAGATGGCATTAATAGAAAGATTAAAAAGCATAATAGGCAATGTTGGCAACTTTAAAACTGGATATTTAAAATTGACATTAAGGTATAGTTCTGACTATACCCAAATTATAATAAAGAACATAGAAATATTTAAAATTTACCTATTTTGTATCTTTATGGTGAATAAAAATAGGCAATAATTTTGTAGAAAACAAAGATAAAGAGGCAAAGGGACAATGAGAAAGAAACTTTATGAAGATATATATATATATATATATATATATATATATATATATATATGTATACATATATATATATGTATATATATATACCAAAGCACATCTTGTAGGAAAGACAAATGCAGGTCAAAGGTTTTGTGGCAGAGTTGGTGTCCAAATCCATTGGAAGCCTTGCTAGTTACAGAAGATGTCTGGTTCAGGCTCCATATACCCTATTATGGGGAATCTTTACTAGGGTCACCCTTATTGATTCCAAGGAGTTTCCACTGCACTAGGTTTTTAATTTAATAACTTTTATTTAAAATTTATTAAACTTTTATTTAAAATTTAATAACTTTCATTAAATTTGCTTTTTAACAATCTCACTCTGGTTTATTGTTTTATTACTCTCAAGCCCGTCCTACCATGTCTCCCTTTTACCATATGCCCCACCCCCCAAAAAGTCTCTGCCTCCTATGACTATTTTTTTCCTCCTTCTAAGTGAGACATAAGCATTCTAGCTTGGGCCTTCCTTATTGTTAAGCTTCATTGCGTCTCTGGGGTGTATCATGAGTGTCCTGTACTTTATGGCTAATATTCACTTATCAGCAAGTACACATCATGCATGCCCTTTTGAGTCAGTATTACCTCACTCAGTATGATATTTTCTAGTTCCATTTATTTGCTTTCAAAATACATAATGTCCTTGTGTGGTGTGTGTGTGTGCGTGTGTGTGCACGCACAGACGTGTGTGTGTTTGTTTAAGTTCTCTTCTTTTGTTTTTATTTTTTAATCTATTTCCACAGTCTAGACTTTATCCCTCTCCAAGTCCTGTATATATGTATGTATATGTATATAGGTATTATGTATGTATATTTATGTATATGTATATATGTATATATGTATTATATACATATATGTATATATGTATATCACACATAGATCTATCTATCTATCTATCTATCTATCTATCTATCTATCTATCTATAAAACAGAGCCCTTATAATCCAATGCATTTGGTGTATCATTGACAAAGCATATTTTAAAAATCTATACTCTACCAAATTGGAAAATAGAAAAGAAATAAATAAAATTTTGATAGAAAGCAAAGTTAAATCAAGATAAAATAAACAATTCAACCAGATCATAACACCTATTGAAATAAAGTCAGTGGTCAAAAATCTCCCAACAACAAGAAGTCCTGGTGCAGACAGAACCAGTGGAAAATTCTGTTGGATCTTCAAAGAAGAATTTATGATATTACTCCTCAAATTATTCTTCAAAATTGAAACTGAACAAACATTTATTTATTCTTTTTATGAGGCCACTGTTATCCTAATACTACCAGGAAACTTCTACAGTTGATAAAACACTTTTAGTGAAGTAGCAGGATACAAAATTAATAAATAAAACAAGTGGTCTTTTTTTTTTAAACAAGTAGTCTTTCTATATAAAAATAACAAACATACTGAGAAAGATTTCAGGGAAACAGTAATGTTCAGAATAGCCTCAAAAATGTATCTTAGGATAACACTAACCAAGTAAGTGAAAGACATTTTACAATAAAAACTTTAAGATATTGAAAAAAGAAATTGAAGACATCAGAAGTTGGAAAGATCTCCCATGCTCAGGATTAATATAGTGAAAATGGCTGTCCTACCAAAAGCAATGTACAGATTCAATGCAATTTCCATCAAAACTCCAACACAATTATTTACAGAAATAGAAAAAAAAACAGCTGTCAACTTCACATGGAAAACACACACACACACACACACACACACACACCACTACTACAACCACCACCACCACCATCACCACCCCACCACTACCATCACTGAAAACAACAGTAGCAACAAAACCCCATCCTTAAACCAATCCTGAATAATAAAAGAAATGTTGGAAGTATCGCCACCTAATATTTTAAGTTGTATTACAGAATTATACTAATGAAAACAACATGGTATTAACATTCAAAATAGAGATGTTGACCAATTGAATTAGATTAAAGATTTTGTTTTAAACAGAGAATCCAAGAATACACACTGGAGAATAGACAGCATCTTCAACAAATTGTGCAGGATAACTGGAAGGCTGCATTTAGAAAAATGCAATTAGACCCATATTTATCACACAAAACAAAATTCAGCTGTGGATGGATCAAGAACCTTAACATATGACTGAGTCTAATAGAAAGTGAGGTAGGCTTGAACTGTGATTTTCTTGCTAGAGGATGTGGTGATTTGAATAGGTATGACCTCACACACTCGTGTGCTTGAATTCTTGGCTCAGAGAGAATGGTACTATTGGGAGGTGTGGCCTTGGAGTAGGTGTGGCTTTGTTGGAGGAAATATGTCACTGTGGGGGAGGGCATTGAGGTCTGCGATGCTCAAGCTATACCTAGTGTGGCATACAATCTTCTTCGGCTGCCTGCTTATCAAGATGTAGAACTCTCAGCTCCTTCTCCAGCACTGTGTCTGCTTGCACATCACCGTACTTCTCGCCGTGATGGTAATGGTCTAAGCCTCTGAAACTGTGAGCCAGCCCCAATTAAAAATTTTTTTTTTATAAGCATTGCCATTGTCATGGTGTCTCTTCACAGCAATGGAAACCTTATCTTAGACAGAGGGAAACTGGTTGTCTAAAGAATCAAGGAACAGCCAAGTCTTTGAATTGACGGGCCAAGTAAAGTCACTCCAATAATAATACACAGTGTTAATTTGTAGCTGCAATCGTAACTCAGTA